CATTATTGAAAGTATGATGACTAGATGGAAGATATTCATCGGCTATAAATTTAATGAATATCTAGGTAGTATTAAATTAAATAGAGGAATTTTACAAGGTGATTCCTTATCAAATCTACTCTTCATCATTCAGATGAATGTAATTTCTCAAATCATCGAAGAGAAATTCCCAAAATCAAATCACACATTATATATGGATGATTTGAGAATAATGACAGAAAGTAGTGAAGAAATGGGAATAATCCACAATGAAATTAATGAAATAATAAGTGGAATAGGGATGGAAATGAATGAGAAAAAATCAGGATTGGTATTAAAAAACATTAAAGAAATACCAAATTGAATGCAAAACATCCCAATCATTGAAGGTGAGGACTTGTATAAATACTTAGGAATATGGCAGTCCGACGAAATTGATGATACCTTCAATTGTAAAACCATCAAAGAAAAAATGATGAAAAAGATGGAAGAAATAAACACTGATGAAAGTAGTAATAGAAGATATATTACTAGAATAAACACGGAAGTAATCCCTATCTTCAGATATTCAGCATCAGTTGTGAATTGGAAAATAACTGACCTAGATAAAATTGATTTGGAGATAAGAAAATATTTAAGAAAGGCAAAATACATTGGTGCCGGAAACTCCAAAGATAGGTTGTATGTCCCTCTAGAAGAAATGGGTGAAGGATTAATAAATATAAGGGACGAATATGTTATTGAATTAGTAAGAACAGTGATGTACTACTGTATAAGAGAAAGTGAAATAAGAAATAACATATTAGATAGATGGTACAGTAAGAAAGGAATATGGAATAGAATTAAAAAAGCCCTAGGTCATAAAATCCCAGAAACAAAAATAGAAGAAATAATAAATGAAGGGATAGAAAAGAAAAAAGAAAAAGAAGTAGTAGTAGAAATAAAGAAATTATTGACCGACCAATACATCAAAAAATGGAAGTGTCATCAAATTAGTGGACACTTCAGAAGATGGTTCGAGTCAAAAGGAGTAGATAAAACTACTACAGTGAAAGCATGGAAGTCCATCAATATTAAGAAAAATGCATTTCTCCAATTAACTAAAATGCAAGATGGAGCAATATTTTGTGGGTATAAGAAAGCAAAAATAATGAAAAATGAAAGATTGAAATACTGCCCACTATGTAAAGACAAGATAGCTACAGTAGAACACATTCTACTATCTTGCATTGGTCATAAAAAATCACATATGGAAAAACATGACCATATTGGCATAATAATATGGGAGGGATTAATAAGAAAATATACAGGAAATAATCAATATAAAAACCCCCATATGAAACAATATTCCAATATAAAGACATCACAATGATATGGAACAAACAAATAATGCATAAAAGTGATGGACAATATCACAAAATACCAGACATATATGTATTAGATAAAAAGAACAAAACTTGTCTATTATTTGATATGATTATTGTGGCTGATCACAATATTAATGGAGCCTATTGGAAGAAAAGAAATAAGTATAAAGAATTAAAGAATATTCTAATGAAAATAGAGAAAATAAAAGATGTCAAAATAAATCCAGTAGTAATTTCAATAAATGGATTAATAAATAAAGAAAGTACTAAATTAATTAAAGAAATAAAAATTGAAATTGACATCGAGAAAGAAATTAAAAACCTTGTAATAAAAAACATGATGTAATGTCATGGAATATTGCTTCAATCACAATCAAACATACTCCGTAGAGATAGTAGAAGAAAACATATGGAATTAGTCAGTCTTTAATGAAAAAAGAACAATAAAATTAATTCTTATTTAATTACTTATAATTTAATTTTTTATTATCTTATTAACTAAAAATAAAATAAAAGAAAAATTTCTTAACATCATTTAGTATGTTCAGTTTCTCCTCTAAAGCTGCTATCCCATCCAAATCTCAACAATACATACCTACAAAACCTATGGCTGCTCCTCGTAGGGTTGAACAATTATCAGTAAATTCTCCTCTTAAAAAAGAAATTGAAAGTAAACCAAAAAAAGATGATGAAAAAAAGCCAACCCAATTGTCGTTGGATATGTTTGATATTGGAAAACCACTTGGTCAAGGAAAATTTGGAAATGTTTATCTTGTAAAATACAAAAAATAGTTTGTTTTAGATATTCATTTATTAAATAAGGAGGAGTTAATTCTTTAGTAATTATGTTTGTGCATTAAAAGTTATATTTAAAAGACAATTACAACAATACCGGATGGGAATTCAAATGAAAAGAGAGATTGAATTACAATCTCATCTTAATCATCCTAATATTCTCAAATTATTCGGACTTTTTGAAGATAAAAACAGGTGGTTCCTTGTTCTTGAATATTGTAAGAAAGGTGAATTATATGGGTTATTACAACAAGCTGGTCGTTTTGATGAAAGAAGAGCTGCTCGATACATAAAAGCAACAACTGAAGCTTTAAAGTATTGTCAAGAGATGAATTGTATTTATTGTGATTTAAAACCAGAAAACATCATGATAGATCACAATGATCAAGTCAAATTAGCTGACTTTGGATGGTCTGTTCATACTAATACTAAAAGAAATACTTATTGTGGTGCATTAGATTATTTATGTCCTGAAATTGTATTAGAAAAATATTATGATGGATCGATTGGTCAATGGTGTTTAGGAGTTTTAACATTTGAACTATGTACTGGTGAACCTCCATTTCAATCTAACAGTCGTGAAGAGGTTATGAAAAAAGTCAGACATGTTAAATATTCTTTTCCAAGCTATCTCACAAATGATTGCAAAGATTTTATTAACAAACTAATTCAATATGATCCTTCTAAAAGAATGAGTTTTGCTGAGTGTTTAGTTCATCCATGGATAATCAAAAACACAACAAATTGACTTTTATTTTCTCGTTATTTTATTTTTTGTGTATTTAAACTTAAAAACAATAATTAATGGAAAAACAATGGGAAAATTATCAAATTTTACATTCTAAAGATGTAATACTTGAAGACTCACATGATTGGACATTAAATACATTATTACGTGTTGGTGTTTGTTTATTTTGTTTGTTTATAAGTAGAACATTATTAATTGATATGATAAATTATTAATAATTAGGGATTGGATATTTCATTTTCAACAAATCATCCAAATCTTGCAATTGGTTGTTTAGTTGTTTGTGAATATCCTTCTGGAAAAGAGTTATTAACATTAACATGTCGTAAAATAATTACAATTCCTTATATTTCAGGATTTCTTGGATTTAGAGAAGTAGAAGTTTATCATGAACTACTCAACGATTGTAAAGAAAAGTACCCTGAGTTATATCCACAAGTTGTGCTTGTTGATGGAAATGGATATTATCATCCTCGAAGATTTGGTTCTGCAACTCATGTTGGAGTTTATTGTGATATACCATCAATTGGTGTTGCAAAAGTTTGTGTTTTTTGTGTTTTATTCACGGAATAGTTGTAAGAATGTAGACTGTATTATGTGTTGATGGGATAGGAAAGAAGGAGATTAATATGATTACTTCACAAATCAAACCAGGTGAATCAACTACAGTCAGTACTTCAAATGGAGAAGTGTTATGTGAGGTTATAAGAAGTAGAGGTGGTAGTATAAATCCAATCATTGTTAGTTGTGGGAATAAAGTTTCACTTTCAACAGCAGTAATTATCTGTAAAGAATGTTGTTTACATAAAATCCCAGAGCCTATTCGACTAGCTGATTTAATTTCAAGAAAGTTGTTAAGAGATGAAGGATTACTCTCACACATGAATTAGAGATAAGCAAAACAAAACGAAGATTAAAATTATTACATATAAATGAAATGTCAACAATATATTTCTTTTCAAAAAAAGGAATTAACAAATTAAACTTCAATCAATCATTTACAATGATTAAAAAAAGATACAACTTGAAGAGATTTATCTGTCAAATATTGTATTATATTTTAATAACATAAAAACAGGTGAATTGTTTACATTAATAAATAAAAAATGTAAAGACTCACTTCAAATGTTACATATCAATCCATCATATTCTGTTGAGAAAGTTAATGAATATTTTCATATTAAAGAATGTAATTTTCAACTCCAAAAATCGTTTATAAAAGAAATGAAATTATTCCCTCATCTTGAAACAGTGTGATTTACAGAACAAATTATTCAATTTCTTCCATTAATTCCTTCACAAATTAAATTGATTCGACTTCTGTTATTAATCCAAAATCTACAATATTAAGAAATGATTATTAGAAAGTAAGAATCGCTTCATTAACATTAAAAAATCCTAAATACTCTTTTGATCTTTCAGAATTTACTTTTTTAACAAGTCTATCACTTAATATTAAGAAACACATAAGAGTTAATGATTTTATTAGAAATAAATATCATCGTTTTGAAAGAGTCTATGTTATGATGGAAGGATTTGTTGATATCAACTTTATTAATCACATTGATCAATTCAATATTAGAAAAGTAATTATTGAATTTGATAAACAAGAAATATTAGAATCAGTCATTAAAAATAAGAAACTCCTTAAAAGAATTACATTTTGTTACAAAGAATGTTATTATGCTATTTCTAATGATGGTATTATTCACAATAAACGATTAACTGATAGATTTGACATAACAGAAAAAGGATTTAATGATGATACAATACTTCAGTATTATCCTGAACATATAAAAATAAATGGATTTAGTACAAAGAAAATTGAAATGGATTTTAGTTCATTCACATTCATAAAATCAATCAAATCAACAACATCTTCAATTTGTTTCAATCCACCAACTACTTTAACACATTTAGATTCAAAATATTTCTATGAAATATCTTCTCTTAAAGAATTACATCTTCAATGAAAATATATTCAACATTTATCTCTTCCTAATAATTTAACAGCTTTACTAATTACTGATTTTATTCAAATTTCTCATTATTCTCAATTAATTCGACTTTCTTTGTGTTTAAACAAATCATTTCCAATTATATTATATCGAATGTTAACATATTTGTCATTGTCATGTAATACTTGTGGTAGTCTTTGTTTATTAACACAATTAAAAGTGTTGTACTTAAACAAAATCATTAAAAGTGTTGATGTTGAATCATTTTATCCTACTTCATTAGAATTTTTACAATGTTATTCTAATTCTTTACCAATGAAATTATTAATTACACAATTAGTATTAAATGATTCTTTAAACAACATAATATCCAATATTATTCATATCTTTGTAGTTTAAAAACATTGGATTAATTTCATATTCAACTTTACTTCCTTCTTCTTTGACTTCTTTAACTGTATCATGTTTTGGTTTATCACAAAGTTATATATCATTTAGTGAATTAAATTGTATTAATGTTAAGCAACTTCACATTGAAAATTGTAATACTCATAATGTAGAATTACCATCTTGTCTTGATTCACTTTATCTTCATTATTCTGAGTTTAAAATAACCAATCCAAGTATATTTTATACTTTGATTCTTAATGAAAGTAAAATTAATGAAGAAATGATTCAAAAAGAATTTATAAAGAATTTCTATTGCAAAAGATCAAAAGAAAGTGAGTTTATTAACATTGAATGGTATTTATCACTTCCTCAAGTAAAATTTTGTTATTGTCAGAAATAAAAAATTTATTATTTTTACGTTAGTTTTAAAACTAATAAAAATAATTAATTGATGAATAATGAAGTTTCAATATTCTTTTATGGCGATTCAAATCTTTATGGAATTGAAGCTGTGACTTATAAACGTTATTCTTCCAAAGACCGATTTTCTAACATTGTCATTGAACAATTAAAAAAAGAATTTACAAAAGTCAATTGTATTGTTGATGGAAAACCTGCTCGTTCATTGAAATATGAAAACATCCCATTTGGCATTACTAATGGATTAAAAGACTATGATCAATTCTTATTAAAGATTACCTCCAATCCATTTTCAACAAACAAAGTATTAATCCTTGCATTATGTATTAATGACATTCTTTCAAAAGCAACTTCACAACAAGTTATTGATGCATTACAACAATACATCGAAAAAGTACAAAAACAAACAAAAATAATTATTTTAATTCCACCACCACTTCAATATTGTACATTTGATAGTTGGAAATCCACAGTAAATCCAGTGATTGCAGAATCATTGAATTTTGTTCATCAATTAAAAGTTGTTGTTGAAATGTGGAAAAAGCAAGAAATAATAGATGGATTTGTTGATTTAGATGGAATGAGTGTTGGAGCAGATGGTGTTCATTTCACATCTGATTCACATCACAAAATTGCAGAAAAGTTACTTTCAATTCTTCATGATGTTTTAAATTGAATTATTTTTCGCAGAATTATAAAGTCAAACAGGAATAAAACACAATATAAAAGAACTTAGACTAATTGAAGAAGAAGTAAGACTTTTTATGACAATAAATTCGATAGTTATTTATGCTGATGAAGGGACTATTGATGTTTGTGTTTATTACTCAATAAAAATGCTTCATTCTCAATACCAAGAAGCTCAAATAAGAAAAATATATGCTAATGAGTTAATTGAAGGTAAATGGATTTATGAAACTGATTTGTTTGTTATGCCAGGTGGTGCTGATCGTCCATTTCACAAAAACTCAATGGCAAAGGAGTTGAAGTATTAAAAGAATTTATTAATAATGGTGGAAAGTATCTTGGAATTTGTGCAGGAGCATATTTTGCATCATCATTTATTGAATTTAATAAAGATGTTGCAAATGAATTAACACTATGTGAAGAAAGAACATTAAAACTCTTCAATGGGATTGCTCATGGACCAATGTATCAAGGATTTGAAGAATATTCTGAACGAGGAGCTGTCATAATTCCTATTTATTATCAAAACAATGAAAAAGTCGAACTTTATTATAATGGAGGATGTTCATTTGTTGACAATTTAAATCAATACAAAGAGAGTCATTTTCTTGCAAAATATCCAAATGGAATGAATGCATTATTCTTTGACATTATTGGTAAAGGAAAAGTTATTCTTTCTGGTCCTCATTTTGAATTAGACATAGAATGGTGTGGTAAAATGCTTAAAGAAAGTCAGAAAAGTGAATTTGAAATGAGAAGAAAACTCTTTTTGAAATATATTTTTTCATATTTTTAATTCCATCATTGTTTAATCATCTTCATTTTTATTATTTCATTTGATGATCACTACTATCAGAGTGTATAATGACATTGGAACATCTGCTCTTTGTGTTTATAACACAATTCATTTATTTCATCATTTTTTCCTTGTGCTAATGTTTTTGTAATTTCTTCTTCAGAAATTAAGACGAGTCAATGGGTTGAAAATACTGATTTGTTGGTCATTCCTGGAGGTGAGGATTTGCCATATCTTGACAAACTTCAGATGGATGGAATTGAATTGATTAAGTCGTTTGTTCTCAATGGTGGAAAGTTTTTAGGGATATGTGCTGGAGCATATTTTTCGTCATCATACATTAAGTTCAGTGCAAATTCACAATTATCCATTGAAGGAGAACGTTACTTAAAATTTTACGAAGGAAATGCAATTGGTCCAGTGTATGATGGATATCAACCAAATAGTGAGTCAGGTGCACATATAGTAAAGATAAAGTACAATAATAGTTATGCGTATATTTATTATAATGGAGGTTGTTATTTTGATGACAATAACAGTAAAGTAGAAGGTACTTATTTTGCGTTGTATGAAGATGGTAAACCATGTGGATATACTAGAAGATATGGAAAAGGGAAAATTCTCATCACGGGATTTCATTTTGAGTTTGATGAACAATGTTGTTCTCATTTGTTAAGTTAATTAAGGTATGACGATTTTGAATTAAGAAGAGAAAGTCTTATTAGATACATTTTAACATTAATGAGTGATTGTTAACAAAGGGATATTGATTGTTTTGTACAGAAGAGAATAGACAACAAGATGAAGAGAATCATTTGAGGTTAAAGTGAGATATGTTCAATAACATAATTAAGAAATGTACTAAGAAAACGAATAAAATCAAAATGGAATTTAATAACACATAGAATATGAGTTAATAAAACAATAAAGACAAAATAAATCAATGGAGAATAATGATGAGATTTAAAGAAAAAACAAACCAGTGTTATGATGTACAAATAATCATAACATAATACAAACATACTTGATTTGCTTAAATAGAAAGTATTGTTTTTTTGATTCATCATTTTTTCTTTTAACAAATTTGTTTTTTATTTTTGTTATTATAAAAATAAGTCAATTAAAAATAGAATAATTGATAATTTCATTTTTATATAATATCAATTCCTTATAAATATCATGTTATAATTAATTGTTAAATTGTTAGAATAATAAAGAGATATTACATTGAATTTATTAATTCAAATTCAGATTAGTGTTTGATTATTTTTATTTTGTTACTTTGAAGATAAACATGATATTCTTTCAGTGAATGAAAAATCCTAAATTAATCAAAATTATATGTGTTATGAATATTATAATAATAAATAGTAGTCATAATACATATGAATAGATAAAATAAATATAGAATAATGAATATAAAGACAGGAGAAATATAAAAGAATAAGAAAATGGAGAATATAAAAGACAATAAAGAAATAATTATGAATATAAAATGATAGAAAATTCATAATTGAAAATGAAATTACAAAGATATAATAAAATTCACAACAATTATATTTAAACAATAAATATGAAATAAATTAATGTCAATAAGAATTATTCATTTAATTCAATACATTAATTACAATGTATCAAATACAAAAAGAAGAAAGAATAAAGAATAGAAAATGACAAAATAAAATACATGAATTACAGAATAAAATTATAATTCAATATAATATTTGAAAAAGAAAAAATAAAATAGAAAAGATGATAAATGAATAAACAGAAGAAATGATAGAAAATAACAATAATATAAGAATAAAGAAGAATAACAATCACAAATAACGAATTTAAGTAATTTATATAAATGAATAAAATAAAGAATAACATCAAAATAATGATAGAAAAATGAAAGAATAATAAAATATATAAATAATATACAATAATACATGAAATTGCATTTCTTACATTTTATAACAAATATGTATAAAATGATAATAATTAAATGAAATAAATTTTAATTCAATCAAATTACAACACAATAATATTTCCAAACACGAAATGAGAGCAATAAGAAATAAATAATAAAATATAGAATAAATAGAAATAAATTAGATGAAATAATATGTTTAGAAACAAACAAAATATAAAATAATAAAAACAAATAATATAAAAAACAAAATGTAAAGTTGTAATAAATAATAGAAATAACAATATTTCATGAATAACAAATAGAAAATGAATAAAAGAAGAAATATACATATATATTCAAATATAATGTAATATTCAATTCAATTAATACAGATTTAAAAACAAATAAATAGAAATAAAATAAATACAAAGAGAAGTAATAAAAACAATATTTAATTTACAATCAAATAAGTGTGAATTGAATAATGAATTAATTAGTTGAGTATATTATATTTAATTTATCAAATAAACATTCACATAGAATGAATTTAGATGAATGAAAGTGGATAATTCAATAAATTTATTTATTTTTAACAATAGTTAAATGAAATGTTAGTTTATAATATTTCATTGGAAGGTATTATTTAACCGTTTGATAAATAAAAACAATAAATGATTAGTGAAAATATTCCACAACCTAAAATAACAATGATTTGAAGAATAAGTGAATGTAAAAGTTGAATGGTAATTGTATTTTGAAGAAGAATATAATTAATATAAATGATAATATAAAATAATCAACAAAAGAAACCATTATTACATAAATGAAAATATAATAGAAATGATTGAATTATAATTGAATAATTTCAATGAATAAAAAAACCAGAAAGAGAGAAATGATGTTATTTTATCAATTCAGACAATAATTTCATATTTTCAATAGAATTAAAATAAATTACAGAATGGTATTTGAAATATTGAAAAGAAATAATATTTCAACATTGTTGTATTAAATGGAAAAAGTATTATATTTATAACGACGATGA